CATCGACCATTTTTTTTCCCAAGGACTTGAATTAATAGAGGATTCAGGCATTAATAACACTAGCTGGGTCATTAAATAAAAAGTGTTTACATTGTGTGTTTAAAATGCATAGTCAAGGATGTTGCTTCATAAGACCGTGTATCAAACAATCTCTTACCTATTCTTCCTTAAAATACCAATTGTAAAGGTAAGAAAATCAATTACTTAAAAACAGTTGCATAAAGCAATTTTAATCTACCTTTTCTTTTCTCTGAGCAACACCATGAGGGAACCATCTCTCCAGCCAACACAATGATTTTTCCCCCTCCTGTTTCTCCTTGAAAGAGTTCCATCAGCAGAAGCATCCCTTTGGGAGAAAGTATGAAATATTTAATATTTATGCTGAGGGGTGTGCTTTTGCCACTTTGGGTCCCAATCTTGGGAGGAAAACAGGATAAAAATAAATAACATACATTTGAAGCGCTTTAAGCTACATATTGTGAGCTCCAAGCACTTCCGAGTACAATACATTTATTGTGATATAACAATATTAATAAAATCTAGGCTCCTTTTAACGTTCCTTCACATTTTCTATTACACTAAACTATGTGGGATTATTGCACTACTAAAGGCAAGGTACATATGTGGATGTATGTGGTGTTTTCCATGCAGTACATCTTACAGCATTGCACACATTTGCAGCTCTTTATTCAGCATGGCAAAGCAGTTAAAGGCAAAGGTAACTCAAAACTTGATGTATTTTTTAAAAAATATTTTTTTATTATGGTGATTATGCTCTTTAGGTGGTGTTCGGGAACTAATCCAGGGCTTTTGATATTGTAATCATTACAGGGGTATAAATGGCATTTGGAGAGCTGTTTCTTGCCTTCCCTTTGTAGATGGTTCTGAATAACTCCACAGATTCCTGTGCTGTGCTTATGGAGGATGGGTAGGGAGAGGGACAGGTTGGTTCATCTGATTTAGGTAATTTGCTGACACGTGAAGTCATAGGCTTTCATGGCCGGCATCCATAGCTTTTTGTGGGTTTTTTGGGCTGTGTGGCCATGTTCTAGAAGAGTTTCTTTCAGACGTTTCGCCAGCATCTATGGCTGGCATCTTCAGAGAAAAACGTTTTTTCTCTGAGGATGCCAGCCACAGATAACTGCCTTGAAGCTTTCTTGTGCATTGCTTTTTAACTGTGTTCCTAGCATTGTTAGGGCTCTGCCTCTTTGGTACAGAGGTGTAGAGAAATAATGTTTTGCCCAACACCAGCACCAAACTTGGAGGGAGAATGCCATAAATATGGATTCTCTTTCCTCCGGTATGCAAAAGAATCTTGTAGCATAGTTTTATGTGGATTTTCTGGGCTATGTGGCCACGTTCTAGATCTTGTAGCACCTTTGAGGCTGAGAGAAAGAAGTTGTAGCATAAGCTTTCATAGGCTGAGTCCACTTCATCATATGCATGTGTAATCTGATTAAGTAGATTCTGGAGCTTATCACATGAGCCCCATTTTCCCTGCAATTGTACTAGTAAGGAGAACAAGAAACATACTAGTTTTGAAGCATTCCCTCTCATATATCCTTACAGTAGCTCAAATGGGCCTTATGTCCTTTTCTGCACTCCTCCTTACCCCACCTCCCTGCCCTATTCCCTACCCAGCGTACCTTTCAGGTTTTGTGGGGTTTAAGTGTTGTTTTTTTAAAGAGAGAAAGTTTTTTTAAAGGGGAGAAGTCTGCCTGAGAAGTGGGGACGGGGGGGACGGGGAGGAGAAGGGACACTGGCACCAGATGACTGCTCAATCCTGGAACTGCAACATGGAGAATTTATCACAGCTGGGGACTAGGGGCAACCAGAAGTTTGGGAGCTTATTGAAGGGTTTCCCCTTCAATGAAACAATGTGTTGTAACCAGCCTCAGATGGCAATGAAGTGACAAGATGGTGATGGTGTCATTCGGTAATTAAGCCAAAGGCATTATTTTCAAACTTTGAAAGTGGTTTAAAAAACACATGTTATACTCAGTTCACAAAAGCTTAAGCTAGCAATTTCTTCCACTCATTGAGGGGGGAAGCAGACGGGCAGCCATGGGCCGCCCCGGGAAGCTGCGCCGCGGGGCTGAGGTATCCCCACACTTCAGCCCTGCAGTGCACCTTCGCCGCCGCTGGAAAGGAGCGCTAAATTGGCACTCCTTTCACAAGTTGCCGAAGGTGCGCCGCAAAAGCTTGCGGTGCACCTTCGGCAACTCTTCCTCTGCAGCGTGTCTGGACGCTGCAGCGGGAGGTCCTCCTCGGAGGGCCGGCCGTGCGGAGGGCCTGCTGCTCCGAGGACGACCTGGGGAAGGGGTTGGGGCACCGATCATGCGGCTGCCCCTCCCCTTCCCTGCCCCCAAAACGGCCCAATTGGCCGTTTCTACTTAGCCCCACAGTCTTAAAGGTGCTACAGTATCCCTTTGCATACTAATCCAGAGTAACACGGCCATGTCCTTGAATTCCACTGATATTACTAAGATGAGACAAACTGATTTTTAAAACATTATAATCTTAAAAATTATTTTTTTTGTTTTGTTCTTAAGCAATTTGATAGGGCAGTGAATGTTGCATACAGTTGATTGATGGAGAGATATAAATTTTGGGAGGGGTCAGCATGAGAAATTGATCTATAAAGAGAAAACGTTTTGTTTCAGAGTTTGGTTACTGCATTAGAACAGCCCTCCCCAACCTGGTCTGCAGCCAAAGTGCTGTGCTACATCTCCTAATGAATCCCAGCCAGCCAGGGTTGAGGCCATGGGTCACTGAATAAAGCATTCTGTCATCTGTAGCAGCCAGCCAAAGGTCCCTAGAAAAAAACAGGACATATGGTGATACCATTCCCTTGTTTTGTTTTATCACCAGTACATACATACAATTGGAAGTATAGAACATTTGAATGTGAAGAATCCAGTTAATCATGGCAGGTAAAAAATGTTGATAAATTCATAAAAGAGAAGTCTTCATCCTTAGCCACTGATGATCACCACACTCTTTGGGACAGTAGATTCTGTCAGTTTATACACTATATTATGTGGATAAATAAAATGTTTTCAGTGTTGCTTTGTATACTGTCTGGATTTTCTTTTCATTTTGCCTGTGAAAGATGTATAGATAACTTGGGGGAGTGCAATTCAGATCACGAGACTGATCATGACAAAATGCTTGTCAAGAGACAATTCATTATTGAATGAGGAAATTATGTTGGTGTTTATATAAGCCACATAACCTACATCTGTGTTATACTTGGTTCATAGCTTTACAGAAGGTAAATGTATATTGTTTACAAATCGATGACACAGCAGCCATTATGGCTCCATCATTCTCAGATGTGTCTTGAAGGGGTACTATTGACCATTTTGCTACATTCTGGTGGGGTTTTTAGCCAGTAGAGGTCTTCCTTTAGTCCAGGGATAGACAACCTTTTTGAGCTGGGGGCCAGGTTCCTGTCCCTCAGACAATTGGGGGGCTGAAGCACCAAAAATAAATAAATAAATAAATACAAAATTTTAAAAATTAAAATATTTTTAAAATATGCATGCACACTCTCTCAGCTGCAGAAAAGCCATGGCAAAACCCCTGTGGAGATTTTGCCAAGAAAACCCCAAGAACAAGTAAGAACAACAATAATCAATATCATTATGGCGGGTGGCGGCAGTGGCGGCGGCAGGACCAGCCTGGGGCCAGTCCAAAGGTCTCAGGGGGCCACATCCGGCCCCCGGGCCTTAGGTTGCCTACCCCTGCTTTAGTCTATACATGACTTTCTTCAAAATAGATAATGACCAGAGCTGGAAGGCTAATCATTTCCTGTTGGAAAGAAGGCATGCAAAAGTAATCACGGCTAGATAGAATCAATTTGAGAAATCTCAACACTTTGAAATATTTATATGTTCAGTTACATGGATTTTATACTGTGTATTTGTAATGAGGTCAGTATCATTCCTAAAACAGGCTTCTCTGTACCAAAGGACTGGAAAATGGCTAATGTAGCACCAGTTTTTAAAAGAGGATCAAATATATACTAGCTAGTTGATGTTAAATCTGTTTCCGAGAAATTGATGGAAACTCTTAAATATAAAATTACCAAGCACAAAGAAGGATAAGTTGCTAAAGGAGAATCAGCATAGCTTTGGCAAACTTAACACCTGCCTCATTTACCTTCAGCAGTCTTTCATAATATCAACAAACAAGCTGATAAGGATGATAGACAATGTTTATTTAGACTTTTAAAAGACTGTTTGACAAAGTCCTCTTTACCAAAGACTTTTGAGCAGATTTGTAGAAGACGGGGGAAGATGAGAGATCTTCTTAGGGACTGGTGATTGGCTAAAGAACAACAAGCAGAGAAGAGGAATAAACACACAGCTCTAGCAATGGAGAGGTATAAGTAGTGATGTGATCCAAGGTCCAGGATCTATTGGGATTGGTGCTTTCAATTTGTTCATAAATTATCTGGATTCAGATGAGAAGTGTGATGGGCAAATTTGTAGCTGCTCCAGTTTATTCAAAATAGTTAAAGCAAAAAGAGATTGTGAAGATCTCCAAATGGAGTTGTTGTTTATTTACATAGTGCTATCCATGAACATGATGTTTTACAAACAGAAGAAAAAGTGGTTTGTATAGCATAAACAAGTATAAAATAGTACAAATGGACGCAAAAGATCCTAGCTTTACAAATACGCTAAGCATATGGTGACTAACCAGGAAAGGTTTGTGGTGCATAGCTCAATGAAAACATCAGCCTTGTTGTTATAAAAAAGCCAATTTCAGTTTAGGAATCATACATAAAGGAATTCTTTTTTAAAAAAAATCTCACAATACTTATTGTTGTTGTTTGTTGTTGTTGTATGCCTTCAAGTCATTTCCGACTTATGGTAATCCTAAGGGAAACCTATCACAGGCTTTTCTTGGCAAGTTTTTCAGAGGTGGTTTGCCATTGCCATCCTCTGAGGCTGAGAGAGTGTGACTTTACCAGAGTCACCCAGTGAGTTTTGTGGCCAAGTAGGAATTTGAACCTTGTTCTCCAGAGTCATAGTCTAATGCTCAAACCACTACACTACACTGGCTCTCTTCCCAATACTATAGCACCATAAAAACATGTGTTCTGACCACACTTGAAATATTGTGCACATTTCCAGACTAGAATATTTTCAGTCTGGAAAAACTGCAAAGAACACATCTCAAATATTAAGGGGACTGTAAGGAAATGTTAAAATATGTTGGCTTGCTAAGGTGAGTACTTGAGGTGGAGAGGGTGAACCATATACATGATGAAGTGAAATGGATGGGTGGGGAATCTCCTTCTCATAACACTAGGCTCATCCACTGAAGCTGAAGAATGAGAGATTCAAGACAGAAAATTAGAAGTGCTTTTTCACACTGCTCACCCCCAAACAATAGAATTCAGTAGCATGAGATGTGGTTGCCAGTCTAGATGGTTTTAAAACAGAATGAGATAATTTAGCTAATAAGACTGTCAGTCACTATACAATACTTCTAGTATCGGAGACAATATGCTTCTGAATACTACTTGCTGGGAAACATTGATATGCTCATATCTGCTTTGTTGGCTTCCCATAGGCATTTTTATGGCTGCTGTAGAATCCGAATGCTAAAGTAGATGTATGTTGGTCTGACTTAGCAGGGATCCTCTTCTGCTTTTACATTCATGTGCCACATATGCATTTTTTGTATGCCATGCTGTAGTGAAATACCATCACTATTTCATTGCTCATAGATTGTCATCGCTCTAGTGGACCTTCTCCAGATCCAAAATAAAAGACAAGTGAGGCACCGTTGGTTTTCTAAAGTTTTTAGAAAATCTGATCCACCTCTGAGGAGAACTGAACAGTGAGACAGTGAATTTGCTAGCCCTTTATCTCACAAGTATGGCAATTACAGTATGCAGCAAGATGTTTTGCTGGCTCAGCTGAGGAAATATGCATGGCAAGAGAAATGAAATGATCTGCGAGCTGTGGGATATACTCGCATACATATTTGGAGATCTGTGTTTATAAGAACACTGAGAGGAAAAGAAACCATGATTAACAACAGTGGGATTACTCAAAGATATAGCTGTGTTAGTCTGTAGAATCAGTATGTAGAGAGATCTTGTAGCACCTTTGAGACTAGGCTTTTGCAGACTGCCAGAAATAGTGCAAATTGAGTCCACTTTAACTGCTCTGTCTCAGTGCTAGGGAATCATGGGAACTGTAGTTTATTGTGGCACCAAAGCTCTCTGACAGAGAAGGTTCAATGTCTCAGGAAAAAAAATACAATTCCCATGATTCCCTAGCACTAAGCCAGGACAGTTAACGTGGACTCAATTTGCACTATTTCAGCATGAGCTTTTGTAGACTTCAGTCTACTTCCTCTGAGTTCCAAATGCACTTGGGGAAGTAGACTGAAGTCTACGAAAGCTCATGTGGCCAATTTCTTTCTTTCAGTTAGTCTCAAAGGTGTTACAAGATCTCTC